TTATTATTTTCTGTAACTAAAATCTGAAAAACAACTTAGAAATTCAGCTGGGCTAAAAGCTATGGGTTTCCCTAAAGGATTTCATAAACAATAAGTTTTTTTTTAAACAAAGTTTAATGTATCCTGATGTGTGTTTGGGTCAAACAGTTCTGGCTTTAAAACAAGCAAATATTTAAGCATTTCTTTTAGTTTGTTGACATTTTTACATTAGAAAATTCCCTTTTTATTACATTTCTTTTGACTATTTAAGGTCATTTTCAGTGTTGGTCTTGTCTTCAGACCACTGTTTGATGGTCTTGGTCTCATGTCAAGACCACAGCTGTGGAAATTTCACTAATTTACCCGAATATTGTCCAATTTATTTGTTAACATCATTGATTTTATTGGAAGTAAAATGTATTGATTCAAATCCAAGCAGATTTTGGTTACCTTCACTCACACTCAGTGGTTTTCTGAGAAAACCTGTTCAGCTACATAAATCCTAAAAATATATTTATAAAACAACATCCAGGAGAAAACAACAGATTGATAAATTGTGCAGCTTTCAGAGACGGTGGAGACGTCAAACGGTTATTGTCACTTAGAAAAGAAGCACAAAGAAAGGTAAGTTATGTGTGATGTTAGCAAAGCTAGCTAGCCAATGTTAGCATTCTGCTTCTATACCAAAAGCTCTTTAGCTGATCCTCACACAACGTGATTTAGTCAATATCATCTGCATGTGTTAACTTAGCTTAGCTACCTGTGTACAGAATATACTATGTTTTAGGAAGTTTCTGTTTTATGTCTCCGCCCACTGGGGCCAGAGGTTCCTCCCACTGAGGCCAGAGGCTCCGCCCACTGGGGGTCAGAGGTTCCTCCCACTGAGGCCAGAGGCTCCGCCCACTGGGGGGTCAGAGGTTCCTCCCACTGAGGCCAGAGGCTCCGCCCACTGGGGCCAGAGGCTCCGCCCACTGGGGCCAGAGGCTCCTCCCACTGGGGCCAGAGGCTCCTCCCACTGGGGCCAGAGGCTCCTCCCACTGGGGGCCAGAGGCTCTGCCCACTGGGGGGTCAGAGACTCCTCCCGCTGGGGGGTCAGAGGCTCCGCCCACTGGGGCCAGAGCCATACTGTTCTCTGGTTGTCTGTGTGTTACCTGGTGTCAGACTGTCCTGTGTGTGCTGTAGCTCCTGAAAGCCGCTGTTGATTTCAGTCAAAATTGACATGATAATTGTTCTCGGACCTGTGGAGGTCTGAAAACATTTTGGGGTCAAAGGTCAAAGCTGMAGGTCTGGTAAAGTGATCTTTGTGACCTTRTTTTGGATGGTGCCCATACAGTTAGTGTTTGGTGACTGAAATGAATGATACAGTAAATAACAAACAGGAAGTCATGTTTAGACGTTGTTGATAAAGTTAAACTCCTCTTCAACAGGTAACAGGTCAGTGCTTTGAATGTAGATGAGTGTARAGCAGGTGGAGGCAGACCGGTCTGTGTTTTGGCATCTGGTCCTACCTTAGTTTCCTGGTCTTGACTCGGTCTGGGGTTAGGTGGTCTTCATTACAACACTAGTAATTTTAAATAAGTTACAAATCATTTCTTTTCTTAATATCTTCATAACCAGGCGAGTGAAATGAATTATTTTGGGGARCAACTTGTGATTTTAACACATTTTGTTGTTGAATTTCACCCTGACATGAATCAGAACTTATATCCAGATGTTTAAACACAGAACAGAAACTCGTGCAGTGAGATTATTTATTTCTCTGAGCTGCTGACAAATGTCCTCATGATGCACCACSGTGATAAAAATGTTCAGATCCAAAACCTTTCCAAACCAGAGAAAATTAAAAAACTTATTTCTGCTATTTTTAATCACATGAAACTTTATCTCCTGAGCTTTTCAGGATCTTTCTGATTGCATCAAACTGACTGAACTCTTCTCAGCAGCCGGCTTTCATTACAGAATGATGAATATTTAAAGTTTGTTGTGTTTGAGGATTAAAAAAAGACTAAATCCTCGAGTCGTTTGGTTTTCTGGAGCTTTTCCTGAAACTGGAGCTGATTTTCTGTTTGATTCCTCTGATGTTTTCAGCTGGGCTTCGGCTCGTTGTTTTAATGTTTTACTCGGGGGAAGCTAAATGCATGTGCCTCAGGCTGTGTGTGTGTGTGTGTGTGTGTGTGTGTGTGTGTGTGTGTGTGTGTGTGTGTGTGTGTGTG